TCTACTCTTAGAAAGATTCACCTGTACCCCTATAAGATAAACCTCAGAAGTGATCCCTCCAAACCCCCTCCCTCCACTCATTCCCCCCTCCCTATTATTATTATTTTTTAAGACAAGAATCTCACTTTGTTGGCTTCAGTAGAGTGCTATGGCTCAGAGCTCATAGCAACCTGAAACTCCTTGGCTTTAGCAATCTTCTTGTCTTGGCTCCCTAGTAGTTGGGACTGCAGGAGCCCGCCAGAATGCCAGGCTATCTTTAGAGACAAGATCTCACTCTTGCTCAGGCAATCTACCTGCTTCGGCCTCCCAGAGTGCTAGGATTGCAGGTGTGAGCCACTGAGCCTGGCCCATAAAAGGAACTTTAATAGAATTCATTGAAATAAATGGAGAGTTTATCAGATTATAAAAATTAAATATGAAAACCATGCAATTTAACTTATTTTGAAGACAGTATCTATTGTGGCCAAAGGCTTCCTAGTCAAAAACTACATATCAGTGTCAATACTACTGACATGAACTTGCTGCTTTATAGTTACTAAATTCTTAAACTTTTAGTTGTCTGTAAAATCTAGGATTGAAGAATACAATGAGAAAAAAAAAGTCTAGTGCAAATACTGTCAAATTTGTAAGTGCTAGTTTGCTCTTCCCTCATAATTATCCTAAATACTGTGATGATTATTGTCACTTCTACTTAGTGTTTCCCCTCCTTTCTAGTTTGCAATGTCTTACAACCCTGATTTTTGTCTTTCGTGTTCTTAATTTAGCAAATTGAAGCCTTAAAATCTTATGATAATAGGCTAATACTAGAACTTTATTTTTTTCTTCATGTCGCTAATGATCTGGTTTAAAAAAGGGGCAAAAAACAAATAGAAGGTAATGTTGAAGATAGTTATGTAAATCTGATTGTTGCCAGATTGCCACTAGGGGGAGTCTAAAATTCATAGAGCTCTGATTTTTTTTTTCAACAAAGGTCGAATACTTCATAAACTACTGATTCACTACCATGGGATGTCACCACCTGTCGGGCTCCTATGGCCCTGGTCTCGGTTAGCGCAGGAAGGAACCAGGCGAGAGGAGGATTAGAAGTACAAGCTTGTGGAAGGCCAGCTAGCCCTTACTTTCTGGGTAGACCCGAGCAACCTCCGCACCAGCCTTTTATAGAGCCAGAACAACACAGGTGAGGGGAGTAATTAACAATGACTGCGTGCTAAGGGCACGGGCTCCTCCCACAAGGAACTCCTGTGGAGGAATGGCCCGAGGTCCACGCCTCAGCTGCAGATCATCTAGGTTGGGTGTCATCTGACTCTTGGCGTCTCTCTGGGGGCATAAAACCTCATTAGTACCAAGCTCGAGTGAATGAATTCTGTTCTAAATGTGTGTGTGTGTGTGTATTTAAATATATATCAGATACATATATATATTAGATTATATATCTTTTATATATATTAGAATTTCTTCATAGATTATGCATTAATAATGCATTTAGGTCTAATGTAAAATTTTACTAATTTACAAATGTTTTCATTCTTTCATTCTGAAAGCAAAGTATTTACTCCATTTATCAACAGGGAAATTGGTTTGAATTTTTGCCCAAGGTGACAAAATTAGTACATTTATAACCCAAATCCAAGGCTTTGGACTCCTAGCTTTAAGTGCTTACTGTATGATGTCTTATGCTAACTATGAGAACAATATGGTTAATAATGAACTATCTTACAAAAGTATTAATGATAGCCTAACAAAAACTATGCCTATTAGTGTTAATGCATACACACAGATTACATATAGCTTTTATAAAATGTATATGTATAATATAGGTATTTATGTATATAGATTTTTTAAATCCTGTTGGAAATAAATGTTAGTATAGTATAATACATCAGACATTCTCAAACTTTAATGTACATAAAAAAATTACCCAGGAATCTTGTTAAAAATTGAAGATTCTCAGAGTCAGTAAATTTGGGACAAGGCCGAAGATTCTGCAGTTCTAGTAAACTTCCAGGTGATTCTGACACAGATGGTCTTTTGGCCACACTTGAGAAGCAAGGGTATAGACCAGGGGTCCTCAAACTTTTTAAACAGGGGGCCAGTTCACTGTCCCTCAGACTGTTGCAGGGCCGGATTGTGGGCCCCAGGACGAGTCAGCTGCTAAGCAGGACAGGCAGAGGCAGCAGAAACACCCGGTGGGATGGATAAATGTCCTAGGCAGGCTGCATGTATCCCGCGGGCTATAGTTAGAGGACGCCTGGTACAGACCAACACAGTCAAATCATAGTCCCTTGATTTAACTACAGGGCACTCCTATTGCTCAAACCCACGAACTCAGGCAATCCACCTTCGCTGCCCTCTTAGAGTGGTAGGGATTACAGGTGTGAGCCACCACCCAGCCAGCACTCCTATTTCTAAAACATCACTTGTTGAGGAATAGCGATTTTCAAACGTTTTGGTCTCAGGACCCTTTATACTCTTACAATATTTTCTTTTCTTTCTTTCTCTTTCTCCCTCTCTTTTTTTAAGGCAGGGTCTTGCTCTGTTGCCTTGGCCAGAGCACAGCGGCATGATAATAGCTCACTGCGACCTCAAGCTCCTGAGCTCAAGCAATACTCCTGTCTCAGCCTCCCAAGTAGCTGAGACTACAGGCAGGCAGTACAACACCAGCTAATCTTCCTATTTTTTTGTGGAGACAGAGGCTCTCACTCTTGCTCAGGATGGTCTCAAAACTCCTAACCTCAAATGATCCTCCCACTGTGGCCACCCAGACCTAAGATTATAGACATGAGCCACTATACCTGGCCAAGTAAATATCTACATTTCTAACTGAAATGAAAAATTAAAACTGAGAAATCTAAATATATTAATTCAGTAAAAATAATGGAACCACTATATGATTAACATATATTATGAAAAATAATTATGTGTTCTAAAATAACATCTGCTCTCTGCTTTGTCTACTGTGATATCATGTCATGTATCCTCTGGGAAACTCTATGTATTCATGAGAGAATGGAAAAAACAAATAATGTCTTAGAATTATTATAAAAATAGGTTTGAGCTCAAGGAGTCTGAAAGAATCTATCTGAAATAATATTTGTAATTGGTACCTTTTTCTTTTTTTTTTTTAGACGGAGCCTCAAGCTATCCCCCTGGGTAGAGTGCCATGGCATCACAGCTCACAGCAACCTCCAGCTCCTGGGCTCATGCGAGTCTCCTGCCTCCGCCTCCCAAGTAGCTGGGACTACAGGCGCCCGCCACAACGCCTGGCCATTTTTTGGTTGCAGCCATCATTGTTGTTTGGCGGGCCTGGGCTGGGGATTCGAACCCGCCACCTTAGGTGTATGTGGCTGGCGCCTTAGCCACTTGAGCCACAGGCGCCGAGCCAATTGGTACCTTTTTCATTGGATCTCAGTTCCAACACCAAGTGTCATTTACTTATTTTTCTGGTGTACTTATACTTAACCCAGAAGTAGAACTGATTAGATCAATGATCCCTTGTGTATTCTTGGGTCTTAGAACCCTTTGAAAATCTGATAAAAACATTGGACTCTCTCTCTCCCAAGAAAAATGCACACAAACCATAGCACACAACATTTTACATATTTTGGAGACTGGAGGATTCATACCAACTATGACTTATTCAGATTCTAGGTTAAGAAAGCCCAGCCTAGATGATTATATAATGTCCCTTCCAAGGTTATAAACCCAGATTCAATTGAATGTATATAAAGTAATAAACAAACATTAAAAAAAGAACATCTGTCAGGCTTCCATATACTATTTTCTCCATAAAAGAAAACTATGATCTGGGGTGGCGCCTGTGGCTCAAAGGAGTAGACTGCCAGCCCCATATGCTGGAGATGGCGGGTTCAAACCCAGCCCCGGCCAAAAACAGCAAAAAAAAAAAAAAAAAAAAAAAAAAAAGAAAGAAAGAAAACTATGATCTATATGTGTGAAATTCAATTTGACTTGCTTATGTAAAGGATACAAACTTTTGGGGTGACTGGGAGGGGGGAAAGCATAGGTAGTCTGTGAGCTATGATTCCCATTTAAGATAGGAAAAGGTAGTCATTAATGTTGGAGATAGGTTTGTACACTAAACAAACTACAGGTTCCATTAAGTCACCCAGAAGGACAATTTGCAGGTTTGTACTGGGTGGAGAGCTTATTTAGATAAATAAATTCCCTTGCTCATAATTTTTGAGAGTACACATATACACAATCTTGGGTGTGTGTCTATGCAGTTAAGTGCTTCAAATCAAGGACACAACTTACTCGATACACAAGTATTTTTAAAATATTTGTATGTCTATATATCACAATACCCTTTTTCAAATGACATCTAACTTTTATCTCTAATGCAAAGGTGAGAACAGAATGGTGCTCTTGCTGAAACTAAGGTTGGGGCCCTGGAGGCCTATTTACTACTCAGCGTTTCCCACTATTGCTCCTCTAATACTATCTCCCTCCAGAAGCACTTCATGGAGCCTAAGCAGAACATGTAGTTTGAAACCACCAGTGCTCTAATCTTGGAGGTTAAAAAAAGGAAAAAAGCTAATTCCATAAAATACAAAATACCTATTACGACTGTAGTTACTAAGGATTTGGGGTTCAAAGAAATCTGGGAATAGTCTCTCTGCTCTTCAGAAACTCTAAGATCTTTTGCCAGGGTTAGAGTGTGGAACTCTGTCATAAATTTGCTGGGCTATAACAGTAGGGAAATGAATGTGAGGAATTTCTGTTTCCTATGTTAGCTTACAACTTTCCAAGCAAGGAAAGCAAAAACAGCAGTAGAAGAGATAACCAGAAATTATGGGAATATTTTTTTAGTATTGTCAATGTAATATATGCAGAGAACAGGTTATATTTCTGTGAACTATGTTTCCATAGGCAAATATCACATGCTGTGGGTTTTATGTGCCTTAATGGTCTAGTCAGATCTCCTTTCCCATGGCATCTTAGGCTCTGGAAAAGGTAACATTCTGAATACAAATTCTACTGCTAATTTGGAGGTAATGTGGTGATTATGAATGTAGATAGCAGTCAGATTAGGTAGGCTTGAATATGTTTCTACCCCTAACTAGCTGACTATGTGATTTGAAGCAAGTTACTTAACTTTTCTAAGCTGCAGTTATCTGTTTTAAAGATTGGGCATTAGCAATGTACTCAAAGATAAAACGCCTACAAAGTTGCTAACACAGTGCCTACGTACAGGAAATACTCATTTAAGGTTACCCATTGGTATTACCGGTCTAAAGAGGTAACAATGGTATTACAGTTCAACCTACCTTTTTGTTGCAGATTATTTTTAAAATAACTTGGAAAAAGTTTATATACATACATGCATATATATACCTGTATAAAATATTGATAATGTACCAATGTTTGAAGCATGTTGTATTTCATAACTTTTTTTTTTTTTTGAGACAGAGCCTCAAGCTGTCCCCCTGGGTAGAGTGCTATGACATTACAGCTCACAGCAACCTCCAACTCCTGGGCTCAAGCGAGTCTCCTGCCTCTGCCTCCCAAGTAGCTGGGACCACAGGCACCCGCCACAATGCCTGGCCATTTTTTGATTGCAGCCGTCATTGTTGTTTGGCGGGTCCGGGCTGGGGATTTGAACCCGCCACCTTAGGTGTATGTGGCTGGCGCCTTAGCCTATTGAGCTATAGGCACCGAGCCGTATTTCATAACTTGCTGATCTTTTTTTTTCTTTTTCTTTTAAGACAGGGTCTAGTTCTGTTGCCCAAGCTGGACAGTAGTGGCCTGATCACATCTCAACTTTTGAACTCCTGGGACTTGAGCAATCCTCCTGCCTGACCCTTCTCAGTAGCTGGGACTATAGATATCATACCTGGTTAATCTTTCTTATTTTCTGTACAGATGGAGCCTTGCTATCTTGCCCAGGTTGGTCTTGAACTCCTGCCTCTCAAAGTACTGGGACTGCAGGTGTGAGCCAAGCCTAGCCCATGATCTTTATAAAACTCTATGAAGCAGATATTATACTTTCCTCATTCTTTTTTTTTTTTTTTTGGGAGAGACAGAGTCCCACTTTTTCGCCCACAGTAGAGTGCAGTAGAATCACAGCTCACAGCAACCTCCAACTCCTGGGCTTAGGCGATTCTTCTGCCTCAGCCTCCCAAGTAGCTGGGACTACAGGAGCCCGCCACAACGCCCAGCTATTTTTTGTTGCAGTTTGGCCAGGCCTGGGTTTGACCCTGCCACCCTTGGTATATGGGGCCGACACCCTACTCACTGAGCCACAGGCGCCTCCCATACTTTCCTCATTCTGAGGCTCAGATAATTAAAAAGACAAGGCCAAGTCCACACAACTGTAACTGGCAGGGGGGGAATTTGAACTCAAGCAGCCTGGTTCTGAGAATTATGTTTTTAACACCATAAAATACTGCATAAAGTATACTTATTATCATAATATAGATTACAATATTATATTAATCTATTATATAGATTTTATAAATCTATACTATATCTAATGTAGAGATAATATGGTATGGATTTATAAAATTAAGAGAATTTTAGAAATTCTAATATATGTCATGTATTGTAGTAGGACATTTCTATGCATTATCTCTAACTTTACAAATGACTCACAGAAGTTAAATATCTTGTGCCAGATCATACAGTTAATGTTGGTTGTTTTTTTTTTTTTGAAATAGAGTCTCACTATGTTTGTCGCCCTTGGTAGAATGCTGTGGTGTCACAGCTCACAGACACCTCAAACTCTTGGGCTTAAGCAATTCTTTTTTTTTTTTTTTTTGGCCAGGGTTGGGTTTGAACCTGCCACCTCCGAATGTGGAGCTGGCACCCTACTCCTTTGAGCCACAGGCACGGGCCTTAAGCAATTCTTTTGCCTCAGCTTCCCAAGTAGCTGAGACTACAGGTGACCATCACAATGCCTGGCTATTTTTGGTTGTAGTTGCCATTGTTTAGCTGGCCCAGGCCAGGTTTAAACTCACCAGCCTGGGTGTATGTGGCTGGCGCCCAACCCACTGAGCTACAGGCACTGCCAACACTGTTGTATTCTTAAAGCTTGAAATTATCCCCTTACAGTAAGTCTTCACTTCATGTCACCGATAGGTTCTTAGATACTGTGACTTAAAGCGAAATAACATATGGTAGGCAATCTCCTCATAATATTAATAAGATTAAAAAACTGGTTTCATTGTAAGTCATTTCACTTAAAGTTGCAGTGTCCAAGAACTTATTGACAACATTAAGTGAAGGCTTACTGTATACCACACTGCTTCTAAGAATAGATTCTGATCAAAGGCAAATAGCCCATCATACTGTCATTTAATAAACATTTGTTGAGCATTTCTTTGAACTGAGCCATAGGTTAGATGCTAAGGATTTAGTGAAGAACAATCAAAGTAAAGTCTTTCTGAGAGTGCTTACAAAAGAGTACTTGTGAGGACAGCTTAATAAAGGAACAGTGATAATGACTGTAAGGATCCCACGATCTAGATGTAAAGTGGAACTGCTAATTCCAGTCAGCTTCCCTGCTGAATGTTAACACTGCTGGCATGCTACTTTTTCTTACATACCACTATGTACTTAGTAAATATCCTTTTCTTTTTTTGATAAGGATATTTATCCAAACCAAATCACTTATTTCTACTCTATGAAGTTCAGAGGCTTTCAGGTATGCTTGGTCTGCACCTGAGTACTGTAAATAAGAATTACGTGCCAAACACCTTTCTAGCTGCTGAAGGATACAGATTACTAAAACACAGTCTGTGTCTCAAGAATTCTACTTATATTAAAAAACATTAATAGCACTCATTAATAATACTCATTTATTAAGAAAACCACCTAACCTAAAAAAATAGTCTGGGGAGAGTCATGCAAAAATAAACAATAAACAAACAAAACCGCCTACATTATTCTCAGGGATATCCCAGAAGTGACCTACGTTTTTGCACCAGGATTGGGACTGACTCTCTTGAGAAGTGATTTTTCTTCTCTGAGGCAGGGAATTAGTGAAGATTTGGTAGTAATTTAAAACTTTTCCCTAGTAATAGAGGATCACCACCAATTCTGATCTGGGATTTACAGAAGAACCAACCCCTGAGAGAATCACATGTCCTGGTGGGGTGAATTTAGTCCTTACTTGCCCTTGAGCCAAAGGAAATCTCCAGTGTACACTTGTATTTCCTCTCTGATGTTTATAGGCTTTACTTTTACCTTTTGGAGAGTAGGATTACCCGAGAGAGGCACTTTTGACACGCGGGATATATAAAACTTGAATTCTGGAGAGCAAGTACTGAGGCAAGAAGAAATTTTCTTCTTTTATTCATGCGGCCTGGAAAACAAAATAGCCGTTCGAATGAATGGCAAGTTGTTCATTGTACACACATACTCATTTCTGAAGAAAACCACCTCACCTGCACTGCAAAGCCACTAAATGTCTTTTTTTTTTTTTTTTGAGACAGAGCCTCAAGCTGTCCCCCTGGGTAGAGTGCTATGACATTACAGCTCACAGCAACCTCCAACTC